TGCATCCCGCACTTTGGGAAATATTGACCAGGATGTCTGATGATGGGTCATTTAGGAAACAGGAAGCTTCCAGTTAAAGACATTTTCCAAAGAGACCAGAGTCAGCAGGGATGTTCATGGGGCAGTCACCTGGACACCAGTTAGCTTCGGACTCAGAGCAGTAATGATTCTGTGATTTGTCTGAGTTGGTTTTGCTATTGAGTACCTGGACCCGGCCTCCACCCAGCCCCATGACGGGGGCTCCCAGTGTACGCCCCAGGGCTGCTCTTTGGCATCTGCGTGTTCAGTATGCACCACAATTAAAGCTTCCTGTTTCCTGAGACAAATGCAAGAGGGGCCATTTGTGCTCTGGCTGGCAGGCATACAAATCTGGCTGCGCGGCACTTGTGGCAGCTCCTCATTTCTCAGTGTCACGGTGGATCTTGTATAACTTGCATTGTTTCATTTTCCTAGCAATGTAGTAATGATTTCCCACAGATTGAGTGGGGACTGGTGCCAATGTGCACCTGCTCCAGCCGTGAGGAGCCCTGTGTGCCAGTTTCCAGAGGGGTGGGTGGAACCCAGGAGAGGGTGGTGGGCCTACCCGCCCCTTGTGCATAAAATAAGAATAGACGAAATGACAAAGGCCACATAATATAACATACTGGAGAATAGTGTGGGCTTTGCAACCAGGCATAGCTGAGCTTTGATACTGGCCCTGCCATATATAGCTATGTGAACTTATGTGACTTAACCTCTTTAAACCCCAATTTCTTCACGAATAAAATGAGGTTAACAAAATAACCAGTCGTAAGACCCTTAATGAGAAATGACTGAGATAACTCAAAATAAATGCACATAAAACTTCTACTTTCCCTTTCCCTTCATAATATACTGGTGCTGTAAGACAGAAGGTATGGGCAGGAATGAGCCATGAGTTTGCCTGGTTATCAACTCATCTGCGTATTGTCATTCCCAAGGATCACAGGGCTTGGGGTTATGGAAAGGTGTGTCATATCGAATTTGGGGTAACTGAGGCAAAGAAAGAAACTAGCCCTTTGTGCTAAATTGCTATAGCACATATTTATTTAGCCAATATTTTTAATGAGTAACTGCTATATGCTAGGCATGGTATTAGGCCATGAGGACTGATTCATTGGCAGAGAAGATAGCACTGTCTTTGTGCCCATAGAGCTTACTGGGATAGAAGAGACTCATCCTAACTTAGTAAAAACACATGCCATGAGTGTTACGAAGAAAAGTAGCAGGCACAATGGGTGTCTATTACACAGAGATTAAACAAAGTCTTCAGAGTCAGGAAATTTTTTTTAGGAGTGAGCAGTTTTTAATCCAAGCCCCGAGTAATAAATTGAGTTGGCTAAGTGGTAAGGAGTGGTGAGAGAAGAAGAGGGTGCCTCATTGGAGGAATGAGTTCAGCATGCCCTCAAAGAGAAGCCAAATGTTCACTTTGCTAATTAAGTATATCTTCTAAAGCAAGTATTTAATATTATCATTTCATGGAAAAAAGGACTTTTTTAATGCCAGAAGAATAAAGAAGATGCTATCAGATTAATATCAACCCCTTAAATTGAATACATTTAGTGTTAAAAGTAATTGACTTAGTTTTACCTATTTTTACATATAAATGTGTCTGTGACCACTATAGGATCCTAAGAGAGGTGAAGAGAGGTCAAAATCACGCTTACTAAGTAGAGCTTTTGGCCCCATATCAATAACTTATTTTCTCCCAGCAAGATGACCCGGAAAACAGATGACCAGGAAAGACTTGCATGCTTTCACTCACTCATTCACTCAACAAACACTGAGCTCCTACTACGTTCCAGGTGTTCTACAAGACAGTGGTGAGAGAAAAAAAAAAAAAAACTTTCACAATGCCAGTTCCTGTGAAACTCAAAGTTGAGCAACGGATACATGGAAACCAAATATCCATATATATATGAAATTATAGCATCATAAGTGCCATGAGGGGGAATTCAATGAGGTTATTTATTAGGGGGTTTGATGGAATCAGAAAAAGCAAAGAAAGGGCTGTCAAGAAGAGCCTTCTCTTACCTAGATTAAGACAGCCCTCGGCAGCCCACTCCTGCTTTCTTCTACTGGCCCCTCTGTCATTTCCTCTTGATCTTCAAAGGAGGCCGTCTTCAGAAGGGAAGGGAAGTTCTCTCCGCACCCCTTACATGGTGATTGTAAGATAGGAGGGAAGATCTGTAGAAAGTAAATCAGAAACAAACTCAAAATCCAGGAAGGCACACTTCATGGACTAGGACAAGTATTTAACTATTCATCTTATCCCACTGGAAATTTGATTCCTCCAATATGAACAGATCTTCTCTTCCTGCCGGGGAGGAGTAAAGGTTGAATGTATTTATGGAGATGATGCTGGGTGAGAGGAGGAACCCGAGAGAAGTTAAAGTTTGGCGTCAACAAACCACTCCTCGCTTAATCAATTCATTTATGTATCCACTGGCTTCTTAATTCTCTGACAAATTTATCTTTTATCACAAACTTCCTACAGTTTTAAAACTAGCATTTTGAAATCCCTGATGCAAATAAAGCTGAGCACTTAGACGAGGTCCAGAGTTTGAAAATAATTTTATTCGGAGTGAAGAGAGTGTACATTAGTATGTAGGCAGCATGGAGTCATTAAAGGATTTTAAGCATATAAATAACTTATTCATTTATTCAGTTAATCAACCAGTGAGTATGTATTCAGTACCTATTTTATGCGGGGTGCTTTGTTTATTTTTATTTTTTTAAACAAAAATCAGTATATACAATTTCATAAGAAATATGAATATAGGTTTCCTAGTAGTTTGATTCTGATATGCCCAGGTATGGTTTTCTTAACATTTATTTTGTTTATGGTTTGAGGGTATTCTTCTAAGTATAGATTTTTTAAAATGTTGCTATTTTCTCTTCAAATGTTTTTTCTACTCCATTCTCTTTCTCCTTGTCTTTTGGAACTGCAATTACATGTATGTTGGATGGTTTGATATTATCCCATATACAGATCCTGGATTCAATACCTGCCCTCCTTTATTTTCTTTTCATTCATTATTTCTCGTTGTGCTTCAGTGTGGACAATTTTTATCGACATGTCTTCAAATTCACAGATCCTTCTGCTGTGCCCATAGAATGATTTTTTTTTCCTTTTCTGGCATTGCATTTTCAGATCTATTTTCTTTTTTTATATATATACTTTCCATTTCTCTGCTAGAATTTCCCACCTATCCATGTGTGTGTTGTCTACCTTTTCCACTAAATGCTGTAATATATTTATTATAGTTATTTTTACATTTTAAAATGGTAATTCTTATGTCTGTATCACCTGCAGATCTGCTTATGTTGGCTATTTTTACTCTTGATGATGAATCACATAATCTTGCACATATGTGTGAGATACAGGTCTATATATATTGTGTATAAAAAAAGTAGAAACTTAGGAGGATAATATTTGCCCTTGCAAAATGCGTGTCTCTTCCACTGTCAGGTTGCTAGAATTGAGGCTCAGTCAGTATAATCTAAGTTGAGCTCACCTAGGTTTTCTCATAGTGGCGGTTAGATTAAGTTTACTACTGGTTTAAATATTTTCAGAGTAGAATCAGGACTTTCCCTTTTAATAACTCTGTACTTAACAGACCAGCCTCTGGTTTGGGGGGTCATTGATGAGCTCTCTGTTCTTCAGCCCATGGGAGGGGGGCTTTCTCTGCCTCAGGTGATTTCTCCCCACTGTACTGTCCTGCCCCCAGACATGGGGTTATTGCCAACTTTATAATGCAGAGTAAAACCACTGTCTACAGATATATCCAATCCCAGCATTAAATAGGCACAAAGAATGAAAAGCTGAGCTGGACAATGACAGTAAAGGGATATTTCTAAGAGATGGTGTCATTTCAGCTAAGACCAAAGGAGAAGTAAGATGTAGCCAGGAAAAGAAAAAAAAAAAAAAAAAAAAAGATGTGTTTGATCATCTGTAGCATCTCATGACCAGAACAAACTAACTGATGGGATCATGTCATTATTACTATGTGCCTGGCACGCTTCTAAGTTTATTTCCTCCTTACAACAACCCCAAAAGATGGGTAGCTTTATTACTAGTATTTCCATTTTCTGGAGGAGTAAAGTAAAGCACAGAGAAGTTAAATTGCTTACCCAACATCACACACCCAGTAAGCCGGGGAGCGAGGCATGGAACCCTACCAGCGTGGTTCAGGGACTCTGCTCTCCAGTCACCGTGCTAAACCAGCACTTGCTGCGATCGCGTGCCGTTGGCACAGAGCCGGGCAGAGGCCCGTGTTCCAATTCGGGATTCAGTAGGGTTTTCTGGGTGGCGGTGTCGGGTGTGAAGGGCCAGAGAGTGAGGAAACGGGTCCGAGGGGGCAGGGAAGGAACACCTTGGTAAGGAAGGACGTGGGGGTATGCCATGGAGGCCCAAAGCAGAGGCTTGATGGGAAGTAAGAAAGGGAGGAAGTACCTGGGAACGGCATTCAAACCCTGCCGCAGGCTGCTGCACCTGGGTTGAGCTGTAGGTGAGGCTCCTCTGGTTCCTGTTGTCAAATGCCACCTGCATACAGGTGATCTCAGTCTTGATTCATTTCTCTCACTTTCTGGTCTGCGAATCTGGCTGTTTTCTGGACTTTTTCCATCTGGAAACTTCCCAGGTAACCCTGTTTTAGAGCCGGTATTGTATGGACGTGAAGTTCCCTTCTTCTTCCTTTTTTTTTTTTTCTCCTCTCTTTCTTCTTCACACACTGCACGAGCATTTGCTGTTTGCAAGACCATGTGTTTTCTTGTGCTGGAGCAGGCATGAGAGTGTGGGGTTGGCAGTTACAAACATGGACCGCCTATGAATTCCCGCCTCAAAGAGCTTACAGGCCAGTGGGGGGAAAAAATAAAATTTTCCCTGAACTGATTGTTTTCTGTTAGAGAAGTCTTGAGAAGTTGCTGTGTGATGTCAGAAGATTAGAAGATTTTTTTTTTCTTTTCATATAGCACTCAAATCAGAAGGAAGCTCAGAAATAATTTTGGCTTTTGCTGCAGAACACTGTGCTCTTTCCAGAGTTTCTGAATATATACCAGGTCTCGTCTGAAAAATTAGTAGATCTGTGATAATATAGAAATACATAATCACTATCACTATGATTAATGAAATACAGGTCAATAATAACAGCTAAGACTTACATAGTATTTACTCTTTTCCAGGGACTTTTTAAAGTTCATTCCGAGTAGAAACTCATTTGTTGTCTGCTATCACCTCATGAGGGAGGGTACTATTATTATCCTACTTTGTAGAAGAGAATACGGAAACCTAGGGATGGAGTTTGTCCACATTCACACAGCTAGCAAGTGGCAGACATGAGATTTGCACCCAGATGATATAACTCAGGAGGCTGTGCTTTTAACCTCCGTAAAATGTTTTATGTATAAATAATAACACTATCGAACATATAGAAGTTGCATTTCCTTTATTTTTCCAATAACCATTTAGAAATTATTTGAGTGCTTGAAAAATTTGTTGGCATTAAAAAAAAAAAGTTTGCACACCCCCCAAAAATTGGTTTCCACAGATTACTCTCATTTTACAGATGGGTAAACTTGGAAGGGAAATGACCTTTCCCAGGATCACAAAGTAAGAGAGTAACAGAACCTGGAACAATATAGAAAAATGTGGATACATCCAGGCTCTGAGACAGGGACAGCCGGATTTAAATCCAGGTTCCGTCACTTATTGGTTCTGTAGGCTGAGGCATATGACTCATTTGTCCTCAGCCTCCATGGTCTCCATGTATAATGGGAAGGGCGTATTATGTCAACCTCACGGGTTGCTATCACAATCAATTCAGACACTGTGTCTAAGTTGCCTAACACGGTGCATACACATTGTACCACCTGTGTTGACAGTGTTATTGTTGTTGTGATTATATTATTTTTAATTCACCCAGATCTCTTCAATTTAAGTCCAGTGATCTCTCCAATATACCTCGTAATAGTTCAGGCAAAATAGTCTGCTTATGTGGGAGTGTGTTCCCCCAGACTGCTAGTTTCCATCACTAGAAGCACCTATTATATGCAAGCCATTAAAGTTGGCTCAATGAATTCTCATCACCATTTTTAAAGTAACCAGTCTCAGGGAGTGAGAACACAGTGTTGTGGCTCTGTCAACAATAAAGGAATCGGCCGGGTGTAGCTCACACCTGTAATCCTAATGCTCTGGGAGGCCGAGATGGGTGGATCGTTTGAGCTCAGGAGTTCAAGACTAGTGTGAGCAAGAGTGAGACCCCATCTCTACTAAAACAATAGAAATAAATTAGCTGGACAACTAAATGATTTATAGAAAAGATTAGTCGGGCATGGTGGCGCATGCCTCATGCTACTTAGGAGGCTGAGGCAGGAGGATCGCCCAGGAGTTTGAGGTTGCTGTGAGCTAAGCTGACACCATGGCACTCTAGCCAGAGCAACAGAGCAAGACTCTGTCTCAAACAAACAAACAACAAACAAGGAACCATGTCTTCAATTGTTAAGCCCTTCAGAAGGTTCTAGCTTTCCTGCTGATTTATCATGTTGTTGTTTTTTTGTACAAATTCATAGGATACAAGTATATATTTTTTTGATAGTCCACAGAAGTGATATAAAATAAAATGCCAATGTGCAGACTCTAGGATGAGGATTTATTAATGTCAGCTAAAGACCTTCATCAGCACATGCTCAGATGAAAAATAACAATAAAAGGAAGGACAAAGAAATAAGAACACACATAACAGGAAATGCTGGTTCTCTCCAGGTAGTGGCTGAGAGGGGATTGAGCACAGAGTTTTGCACCACAGCAGCACAAAGAAAACTCAGTTTGGGATCCTAATGACATCCTCCCTGTCCAAAGAGGCCCATCACTCTTCAAATGCTGGTGAAAGTACATCCTGGCTCACATTCGAGCCTTCGGAACGTGGAATGTGCAATTGCACCAGTCTGTTCATCTGTGGGCAGAGGTAGTTCAATATCCTCCGTGGATCTCTGATTTTTTTAAAACAATTTCCTACCCACTTCAATATTTGTCACATTTTCTCCTCAGCTTCTTTCTGTCATCATTTTTGCTGCTCTCTTTCCTTCTTGGGTTTATGAAGACATCCATCCTGCTCAAGGAGATTGTCAATAAAAATCGCCTGTGTGATGCTCTGCCTTGCCCAAGTTTCTGCCAAGTTGACGATACTTGTGTTTCCACCTTCCTCTACCTCTAGGATTTCAGATGTTGGGAAGCATAATTTTTTAAGTGGTAAATGATTAAATCTTCCCATAATGAGAGGATTCTAGCAGAAGCATTTGGCAGGCATTGCAGACTTTGCTTCAACAAATGCAGCCGTTGCACTGAGTGGGACAGACCCATGGTCCTTCATAAGCCATTTGGGCAGAACTTTAGGGTCTGAATGAGCCTTTTACAGATACAGCATGGCTTGGCGTGTGAGTTAGCAACGAGCATCTGGTCTGTTGCCCTGCCCAGCACCTCTGCTCTTTCTCCTGGTTACAGAATCTCTCTTTTCCTTTGGCGAAGTTCCCCGCCATGTTCTTAAGAAGTAAGGCAGCCATGTGGCTACAGCTGACCGAGACGTGAATGCTATCCGCCCAGACAGAGGGTGGACGTGACCCAAGAAGGGCCTATGAGGGATTGATAAGACCACTAAGATAGGGAAGAATTCTCCTCTCAAAGATTGTAAGGTCTGTGTAAGTCTGGAACTTTTCACCCCCTTGGAGTGGGCCCGGTTGAGAAATAAACCAACAGGGAGAAAAGCAGACAGGGAGAGAAGCAGAGACAGAACGAGAGAGAGGAGTGGGAGAGAACTGGTGACGCCATTTAAGCCCCTGCAGCAAGTTACACTTAAATCCAAAATCCAGTCCCCTATAAATATTTTCAGTTGTATGACCCCATAAAATGGCCTCATACTCATCCCCCACTCCTCCGCCCCACCAACCCTGCACCTGTTGCTGCTTTAGCGTGATCTGCAAGTTATGGCGCAGAAGTACAGCGCGAAGGCCGCTGGCCTGGGAGTCGGGACAGCGGAGCGCTACCTCCTGCTGTGCTACTCACTTCCCTTGTGCTGGCATGGCCCCGCCTTACACGTCCTTCTTATGTCATCTCACCCTTTGCTTGTAAACAGATGGGGTGACGCTGGGGATTGTAGTCAGGGGTTATAATTTCAAAACTTGGCTCCTCCATGTAAGATTTGAGTGACTTTGGGCTGGGGAAAAAAAAAATCTATCTTTCAAATTCTTCATCTATAAAAAGACGAAGAAAATAGTGATTAAAGTCTTTAGCATGATGTCTAGTATATAGTGAGTGTCAATACACACAAGCTAACATTATTACCTTACTGGGACTTGGGAGATCAATAAATAATTAAGACTTATCAGATGTTGCATGCATAAACCCAGCCAAGCAAAGCGTGTGTGTGTGTATGTGTGTGTGTGTGTGTGTGAGAGAGAGAGAGAGAGAGACAGAGAGACAGAGAGAGAGAGAGACAGAGAGAGAGGGAGAGAGAGACAGAGAAAGAGAGAGAGAGTTGGCAGCGTGTTACCTGGATTCGGAATGCCCAGATTGAATCCTATCTCTGATCCTATTATTGAGGGATCATTTGATTGATCAAATCTTTCTTATTTTCTTTTGCTTTCCCTTCTTTCCTCCTTTTCCCCCAATAATTTATTAACACATACAGTGTGTCAAGCATTTTGCTAAGAATGAAGTATAAAATAGCAACACAGTACTCTATGTTTCCCTCCTGGACCTTAATATTTAATGTGGCCTTTGTGATGATCTGCACTGCAACCACCACGTGCATCCCTGTCACAGGGAATTCAGTCTGAGCTCTTGTAAAATGCTTGTCTGTGTCGTCCATGCTTCCCCCTCCCCTTCCAGCATTTTCTGAGGAAAAAAAAAAAGCAGGAGGTAACAAACCTTGTAGGAGCCAGTGGAGTGTGGAGACGGATGCATGCATTTTCTAAGCTCCGGTCATTGGAATTGCAGAAGCAATTGGTAGCTACCTCTGGGAGTACACCCACACTTTCTTTATCTGGGAAAATTAAAACAGGTATAAGCAAAAAGGCATCACTGCAATTGTCCCAGATTTCACACTACAAGCCAGATCGGCTGTGCCTGGATCTCTCTGTGACAAGGGTACATTATAAACCAAGGGCTGCATTTGTTCCTCATTCCTCTCCCGTTTATGCCTCGCTGCACTCCCAGGTGCCCGTGATGGAGATGTGATTGCAGTTGCACAGAAGGAAATATTTTAAGACCTGCCAAAACCCTTAGCTCAGAACTCACTTTTCCAAGCAACCTGTCTGAGCATGGTGGCGGCGGTGAATTATTGAGATTTTAGAGGGTGCACCAGGAGGCGTGTGTCACCAGGAGGGTGAGGCTGGAGGCTGCAGCTGGAACCCTGCTGCCTTCCCCCCTTCAGATACCAGCTGGGCTGCAGATTCAGTGTCTCCTCTGGGATCTGTCTCAGGAGCCTGCACAGGCAGGGCAGAATGGCATCGGGCAGGGGGTAGCCGGGGATTCAGGGCATCACATTTATCTTTGACGGTGAGAAGCAAGACATTAACAGATTATTATCCACATACATCTGGCTTCAAGTCTCAGGAGCAGGGTTTGGTAATTAAAACATATGAGGTCCACCTTTAAATATCACAAATAGATCCATCTCCCTCCCACATGAAAAGAATGAATTGCAATGTCTATTCCTTGTTCTATGTTCCACGTATGTGTGCAGTTAATCCTCACAATGATCCTATGAGGTAGGGGCTATTTTTAGCCCTCAGACACAGGTAGGGAAACTGAGGCACGGAACATAAAAAATTGCATAATGCCGCACATCCACAAAGAGATGGGATTCAAACCAAAGTAAGCAGGTTCCCAAGGCTGCACTCTATATGCTATGCTGCATTGCCTCCCGCTGACAGTGACGAGGAAGGCAAAGGTGACGATGATGATGATGATGATAAGTACCCATGCTAAGTACTTGTCTGCCTTATTTTGTTTATTCTACTTCGAAATTTCTAATAAGCTCATGGTTTTATTCCCATTTCACCATTGTGTAAAATGAGGATAAGAGAAGTTAAATGATTTGCACAGGATCACACAGTTAAAAAGCAAAAACGGAGGAAATTAGTGCTGGGACTCAAACCAGTGCTGGGACAGGCTAAGTCTGTCCAACCCCAAGGTCCGTGCTTTCTAAACTACAGCGTGTTGGCTGCAGGGAGCCGTCTGTGTCTGCGAGGTAGGGAGGGGCAGGACCTTCCCAAATCCTCACTGTTCCAAATACCGCCAGCGCCACGTTCCATATTCCTCATGCACGCCATGCAGTGTGACTGAAGAAAGGCCAAAGACTCCCGCAGCAAAAGGCGTCTGTAAAAATAAACCTAAATTCCCCCCATGAAACCCGTCTCTGTCTAAGAATCACCACTTTCTTAAATCCTTGCCGTTTCTCCTCGTTTTCGTCCCCCGGACTAGCAGCGGAGTCTGCAGCGGGGACCGTTTCTTTCACAGAGTAACAAGCTGTGGTCGCTTCCTGGGAGTTCTGCGGCGGGAGGCCCGGGTGTGAGCCCCGCGGGATGTCGCGGACGGAGGCCGAGCCCTCTGGCTTAGCTGGGCGCTCGCTCCTGCAAACCAGCTTCGGGAAAGCACCGAGGATGACACGGCGTGTGCCTGTGACGTTGCACATAAATAGAGAAATCACACATTTTGAACCTGTGAATAATGACAGTGACAGCATTAGCTCTTATTTAGTGGAAAAAAATGCAGTCGGGTCTCCCCGCCTGTCGCCTACCTAGCGAAGACTGGCCGAATAAAATACCTAGGACTGTTCTTCTTCTAAAACATTTCAGTCCCTCTGGGGGCTCATCCCTGCCCTTCTGACCTGCCAAGCCCCTCCTCTGGCCTTTGCACTTGCTGGCCCCCACTACCTGAGGCCCAGACTTCAAATAGCCACGTAAGCGGCTCCTTGTCCATTTTCAACCTCTGCTCATATTTTACCTCCCTCAGTAAGCCCTGTCTGATCAGCTCAGGCACTATTATTTTACTCCGTGTTTGCCTTTCATAAAACTTCGTCCTAACTAGATTTATATTATTTATGTATTTTTGCTTCCTAATCATCTGAATTTTCTTCTGAGAAAGATATCTCTTTCCCCATCTCCCTCACTGCTAGAAAAAGTCAATGCCTAGAACAGACGTGGCAGAAAGAAGATGCCCTGTACCTATGCATTTAATAAGTAAAGACAAGAGTATGGGACATATTTTCTTTGCTATTATTGATGAAGGGTAGGTCATTATTTTCCCCACCTTTGGCAGAGGACTTTGGGAATGTTCTACCGAAAATATCAAATCAGTGGTGAGATTCTATTTTGCCTTTAACACCCAACTCCCTGCTTCTCATCATCACCTGAGACAGCACAGGGGCTGTGTTTCGTGGCATAGATACCCCCTTTCCCTCCTTTCTCTCCTGATGTTTCTGAAATTCTCTGTTCCTCAGGAAGCATGTGCACTCCTCCCTGCTGACTTTCTCTTGACTTCATCGGTCACAGGGACTCTCGTAGGAGTTGTGCCATTCGGATTATTTAAACTTTGTGAATTTCCTTGAAACTTGGCTCGAGTGAATCCTCTAACACGTACTCCTCCGGAAAACTTCTCCTGGGTTCCTAGGGTATCAGCCTTGTTCTCGTTCTCTTTTGAATGGCAGCTTGCCAGGGCTTGCTAATTGCCCCTGGTCTAGTCTCTACAGAGGGAAGGAGACAGAAATAGTTCATGCTTAAATGTTATTTTTCGAATGGTGAAGCACACTTCTGGAATCGAAAACTTCCCCACTTGAAGGAGAAATTTAATAGCTTCTGTTTTTAGTCCCATTGCTTAATGAGGTGGCAGCCCGGTCCTTTCGTTTGGATGATTTAACCCCCTGGGACCAGACGGGGCCATCGGGATATCATCGGTGGCACGGATGAAAGCATGCAAAGCAGGGGCCAATCCGTCAGGCATCTGTCTTCCAGTGAGGCTTTTGCAATATTCAATGGATCTCCACACGTTTCTTCTCTTTTCTTGGAGAAGGTAAACAGTGGGGCTCAACTTAGACACTCTGTCCTTAAAAGGCTACATGTTCAGAATGCAGAAAATATTCCATCCTATGCACAGCACAGGAGGAGGAGAGAGTGTCTCACATCTGCAGTAATAATACACATTTGCAGCGCAGGCCCTTATTGTGATTTGTGGTAATGCACACATATATATTTGCGTTGGAAAAATACTTGAAGGGTGTCAACCACTTTCCATAAGCAATTCTGTTCCTCTCCTCAGAGGTGGATTCTATAAAGAATTTAGCATGTGCATGCTTGTGTATGTGTGAGGGTATGTGATATGAGGAGACGAGGAAATGAGGAGACTAAATTACAGGGTACTTTTCGAAGCAAACAAAATACACTAATAATAAATAGTGTTTAGAAAGAGTTTTCTCAATGTCAGGCACTGTGCTAAGTGCTTTATCTATATTATTTTCTCACTTAATTCTCACAATTACCCTATGCAGAAAGTACCATTCTTGGAAATGAAGAAAGAGGCACCAAGAGATCAAGTAGCTTACCTAAGGCCACACTATTGACAAGCAGAAGATCCAGGTACAGATCTTGACAGTCTTGCTAGAGCCAAATCTCTTAATCAGAATTTTATACCTAGTAAAGATCATAAGGCATGTAAATTTTTTGCATTGTGGTTTTATTTCCTTTAACTTTATAACTAAGTGTGTTTCCTTAATGTTATGATCAACATTATTTCTGAAAACTGTGTACCTTTTAATTGAACAGATGTGTCACAATTTCCTGAATTACCCTCATGTTGAATGTTACAATAATGAACCAGCTTCTATGGAGACCTGGACCAACAGAAATTGCATATGCATTTTTTTCATAGCAATTATAAATTTCTGAAAGAACTCCATGACACCCCTCATCAAAATCATATAGAAGATGATGACCGAGTTTCTTTATTCTTTAAGGTTAACTTTTATTTACACATTCAGCAACTATTTCTGACAGGCAGGCAATAGTTGGGCAGAGGGATGAATCGGACCTGGTCTTCACCTTCAAGAATATGTTCACATAGAGTTATGATGGCCCCTTGCAGTTCTGAAATGTCATGAGCTGCCACGCTACTCCAGGTATACCAAACTACGGTTATCTGTCTCCTTCTAACCTACCCAGACAGGTCAACACATCACTGTTTACAAATTCATCCCTGTGTATTAATCTTCCTCTCCCCATACGTGTTGGGCATATCTTTAAAGTAAGGATGGTGCTGTCCACACTTCTGGCATCTCTATCCAGAGTTTCAGCCAGAAGTGGGCACGGAATACTCACCCGGTGGATATTCTTTGAGCTTCAGTAAGTCTGGAACAGAGAAGAGAATCTGGAAGACATGGATTCAAATCCACACGACTCTGCTTACTAGCCGTGTGACCTTAAGTGAGTCATTGTACCTGTTGGGTCTTCATGTTTCTCATCTGGAAAATAGGGAAGTCCTGATGATTGTTTGATAATTAGAGATCTAGGATGTTAAGCGTCTATCACACAGGAGGCTCTTTGGAAATCTGTGTGCCTGTTCTCTCTGAGTTCTCCCCCACTGGCTGAGCCAAGTCAAGAGGCAAGAGGATGTGTTTCTCTTCCGGCAGCCCCCAAAGGGCCCCTTCCCTCCACCGTGTTCCAGTCAGAGCGGTCCACCCCCTCCCCCCAAGTCTTCCGGTCTCCGCCATCTGCGCAGCCAACTGTTCTCTGACTGTGAGCTTCTCGCCTGCAACCCCGCTAAGCAGGTGTGGCCGACGCCTGCCTCCTCTCTGCTTTGCAGGCGGAATCTGATTGTGTTTGACAGGCTGCTCACAATGGAGATGAAACGATGAATTGGATTAAATGCTCTTTGTTTAGACTTTATTAGCCAAAGATGCTGCTGCATAATTAATTGGAGAATAAGATGTAATCTCACATGGAGGCAGAGGCTCAGCCCCCCGAAACACAGCCCTGCTTGTGTGCAGGATGAGGGAGGTGGGGAGGAGGAGGTATTCCTAATTTACCAGTGGTCTTTGAGGAAGAAATGGGCAAAGACAAAGAAAGAAGAGGTCCGTTGTCTTAGTCTGCTTAGGCTGCTATAACAAAATATTGTAGACTGGGTGGCTTAAACAGCAGACATTTAATTCTCACAGTTCTGAAGGCTGGGAAGTTCCAGGTCAAAGCGCTGCAGATTTTGTTGCTGGTGAGGACTCTCTTCCTGGTTTGCCAATGGCTGCCTTCTCGCTGTGTCCTCACATGGCAGTGTGAGAAAGTGCTGGTGCCTTTGCCCTTTCTTTTAAGGACACTAATCCCATCAGAGGGGTCCCACTTTCATGCCTGACCTAAACCTAATTACCTTACTACAGACCCACCTCCAAATGCCATCACATGGAAGGTTGGAGCTTCAACATATGAATTTTCAGGGGTCACGGAAATTCAGTTCATAACAACCTTAAAGATGGATCTTCCACACAGACCTTCATCTGTCACTCAACATTTACGAGCTGGGTCACCTTGGTGAGTTGCTCAATCAAAGATTCGGTTTCTTCAGCTATAAAATGGGACAAGTATTATATAAAGTTGCCATGAGGATAACTGCAGGTGTGCACTTTATACAGGTTAGCCAATATAAAATAATATTTTATTATCATTATAAGAATTATTATTCTTAAAGTTTACAACTTACAGAGAAAAACCCAGAGGGCCAACCATTCTCAAGAAGCTCATGTTGAGCTTCTGAGATAGACTTCTAATATCTTAAAATAATAGAACTCCAGAAACTTCTGGGAACTTGTGGTCCTATCCTCTGATTCCACCTAAATTATCCTAGCGAGAAGTGCCTTGTCCAGGAAGCACTAGCAATTCAGTGGCAGTAGAGAAATGTTTGAGTGAGCTGGTCTACTTTATTCATATTAATGTAGAGCAAGTGTCCCGAAACAGTGCAAATACTCCTTCTCCCTTTTAATATCGTCTCATTAAAAATACAAGTACAAGCAAAGACATTTAAAAGGTTTTTAATTTGCCCATTTTTCCAAGCTCATTAATCTAAATCTTTCTTAGTTTAACATTTTTTAAAAAAGAACTTTTCTCAAAAAGTTAAAAAAAAAAAGAACTTTTGCAATGAAAAGAAGTCGAATCTGCCTAACATGTGGCTGAGATGGGTAGTCACAACTCCTTCCCTATTATTAAGTATCTCCCCCAGCTCATTTCCCTGATAGCTGAAATTCCTGTTTCTGATGGCTGCCTTTCCCTCCTTGACACACAGTAGACATGCAGCAACCATGTGTTGAATTAATGAGTAACTCCTAGATTCTGCTGGGACTGATGCCATCCATGTGTCCAGCTACAGTCTCCCTTGAGCCCACATTATAGTAACATAGCTATATCTGCTTTATTTTGGATGGTATTTGCATGAAATATCCTTTCCATGACTGTACTTTCAATATCAATTTATCCTCACATCTAAGGAATTTTTTGTAAGCATAATATCCATATCTATCTATTTATCTACCCGTCTAGCCAATTCTAACAATCTTTGTCTTTTAATCATACTAATTAATCTGTTTACATTTAATATAATTAATGATATATTTAGGTTTAAATCTACCATCTTAATATTTGTTCCATTTATTCTGTCACCTTTTCTCTTTTTTCCTGACTTCCATTGGGATATTTTTGTTATGCCATGTCCCCCTCTTTTGATATAATAATTATTCATACTTCTACTACTCTTTCAATAATTGCTCTGGAAATTATAACATACATCCTTAACTATAATCAAATATGAGTTGCCATTTTCATTCCTTTCCTGATGTTAGAAACTTCGTGTATTTTAACTCCATTTACTGTTTGTCTATCCTTTTGTTATATCATTGTCATATATATTAACTCTACGTATAATTTAAATTACATAAGAGAATATTATCTTTCTGTAAGTCAATAGATACACATTTTTACACACATACATATTCAAATTTTTGCATTCCTATTCATTTCTTCCTGCATGTCCATGCTTCATCTAGAATAATTTTTCCTGAGTCTAAAGAAGTATTTTTAAGCATTTCCTTTGGTATAGGTCCACTGCAAATTATCTCAGGTTTTGTTTTTCTGGAAATGTTCTTATTTTCCCTTCACTTTTGAAATATATCTTGGATATATATATATATATATATATATATATATATATATAAAATTTTAAGTTGAAAGTTATCTTTTATCAGTGCTTATACATTTTGGTTTCCATCTTTTCCTGAGAATCAGCTATCATATTTATTATTGTTTCTTTGATGATAATGTAGATTTTTTTCTCTGTCTTTTTAAAGATTTTATATCTTTGTTTTCAATGGTTTTACATAATGTGACCTGGTGTGGTTATTTGTATTTATCTTACTTGAGTGTGTAGTGCTTTCTGAATCTGTGGGTTTATGTCTTTCATCAGTTTGGGGAAATTCTTAGTCATTTCATGAAATATTGCCTCTGTCCCTTTCTGTCTGTCATCTAATTCTGACACCCCAGATAGATGTATGTTAGATCAAAACCTTATGTCGCATATATGAGTTTTATAGATATTTTCTACCCATCTTTTTTCTCTGATTTTTTTGTCTGGGTGCTTTCTATTGGTATCCTTCCTCTAGTTCATTAGTACTCTCTTCCTATATGACTGATTTGTGGTTTAATTATTATAATGTTTATTTCATTTTTTTTCCATTCTAGAGTTTTCCATAAGGTAATTTCTCTATATTCCAGTTAATCTGATAAATTCTCTATCATGTCATTATTTCTTGAACATCTTAATCAGAGTTACTTTTCAGTCCATATTTGACTTACCATCCAATGCCTAAATCATTTCTAGTTCTATTTCTTTTGTCTGTTTTTCTATCAGCCCCATCTCTTGTGCTGGGTGACTTCTGGATGAATTTCAAATATATGCCATACAAAATATATTTGAAAAAAAAACTAAAGGATTTGCACGAAAGTATTTCTTTAGCTTCTAGAAGGTAGTCCAAGTAGGGACAGATCAGCTTAGTGCAATCAAAAATCAAGATGATTCTAATGATGTTTTAGTCCGTAGGAACATTTCTGTTTCCATTGCAGCTCCCCTCACAGGATGTGGTCCTGCATTGTCCTAACTGAATGCCTGCCATGTTTATAGGGCTCTCCCATCCAAGGAATCCTAAACTTCAGTCTTTACTTTTTGTTTACCTTTGGTTAGATTCACAGCCTCCCAGCAGTGACTTTCTGCCATGTGTTCCTGCCTCTCATCCTCTCCTCCCCTTACAAGTCAGCTAGTAATCCCAAGAGAAAACCAGCTCTATTCTTATACTTCTTTTCTTTCTGGAATCTTGGCCACTCGGGTCCTGCATGTCTGGAAAATTCCGAACTCCATATTTGCTTTTCTCTTTGGGCTTCATGACCCTATAAGACTGACAAACATTCCAGTTAAGTTCTCTTAGCAGATGCTCTTTGCTCAGATTCCCAGGCTTGCTGGGCTACCTCAGTAGGTTTCCTTCTCTCCAGAACCTTGGCCCACCCAAGTTCTAGCTGCTTTGATAACTATCAAATCCCTTTCATCATAATGCAGTATTTTTGGATGCTCCTGGTGAAAGTGTTGATCTCACATAAATGTGCTTATCAGAATTGGATGTTTGGGTCTACAGTTCAAGCTGTGGAATTTGTTAGGATCTCCAGTTTCTAGAGAGGACTCGGTTGTTCATGTCCTCACACTAAGCCCCGGTATCCTGAAGGTAATATTATTTTCAGTTTTGTGGTTTCACTTGGGTACCCCTCAAACGATCCCCTGTTTTGTCGCAGGGATGGAAACCCAGATGAAGCCTAGGATTTTCAAGAATGCCGTCTGGTCCCTTGGCAGCTTTGCAGCACATTCTTTCCTCTTCAGAGAGAACGCCTTGTTCCATATGTTCCCCCAGACGGGACGCTCTGTCCAGGGCCTCGTTCCAAGAGCAAGTGCAATTTCCCACATTGATAGTTTGGGATTTTTTTTTTTTATTTCTTCAGGCTTTAGTGTAAGTCATTTAAGGTGAGCTCTCCAGGCAGTGTTGAAGTCTGTGTTTTTTGAATGCAAAGGCTTGAAGCAGCTCTGGGTGCTGAGTGTCAAAGGTGGATTCCTCTCTCAAGAGTTTCAGCTTTCTCATCTTCCAGATGAAAGCACTTGTCCAAACCCTTTCACCTCTAAGACAATATGTTTGCAACATTCCGTTCCCTCATCTCCACAGTCCACTTGACTGAGGTCTCTTGCCTAGATTCTGAACTCCCCATGTTCTGCTTCTGACACACCATCTCTCGCCCTGGGTAACTAAAAACTGGTTTCTCCTCCCTTCTCTCCACCGGCTATGGTTTGAATGTGTCTCCTCCAAAATTCAAGTGTTGAAACTTAATGGCTAATGCAATAGGATTGAGAGGCGGGGCTTAAAAAGGTGATTAAATCATGAGGGCTCCTGCT